GCGGCGCAAAGATATATGATCACCTGATGACCCTGGGGTACTATTGGCCAACTATGGAGATAGATTCAGCAACATTTGTTAAGAGGTGCAAGGTTTGTCAACTACATGGCAACCTCATACATGCTCCAGCCGTGGAACTCCCTACCCATTTAAAACTTGTGCCCTCGATTTCATCGGGAAAATAACCACTCCCTCGAGGGGAAAATGTTTCATTTTAGTAGCAACAGAGTTGTTCACCAAATGGGCAGAAGCAGTTTCACTACGCCGAGACAACTCTCCTTCAAGTTGAGCCAATGCACTTGTAGCTTTCTCGAGCGCTGCTGAAGTCTGGGCGTACTCCTCGAGATGATGGGTATCAAATCTTGCCTTGGCCACTGCACCCAGCCTGGCATGAACCCATCTCAGATCAAACCCAAAGCACCCCTCCATATCTCGAACGTCCTTCTGAATGTCTTCAAAGACATCAGCTGGTACCTCCCCCATTACATAAGCAAAAAGTTTGAAGATTCTTGGGAAAAGCATGTCTACCGCGTATCCTCGAAGTTCTCTTCTCTGGGGTTGGCAAAAGTTTAAGGGTAAGCTGTCCAGATGGATTCCATAAGGATGGACGTGGTGCGTTGAACACTAAGGCCTCTCCACTCGACGTAATCAGGATTTAGACTCAAACAAACCCAACTAAGCCCTGAGGACACCTTCTGCTCGGAGGGCACAATCCAGCATTTCTTACAAAGTCTTACAACGGATGTGAGCTTAACAACCCTCGTGCCATGCCCAAGCCCTTACCTTCGCCCTATACCGAAAGATATTAGTTCATTGATCAACTACCACTTGATCCCCTAGGTAAAGGAATTTCTCTAAGGTGCCAAAGAGTCCCCTCCTAATAAGTAGGGCTTTGCTGGTCTTGCAAGCATTCGTCTACGTTTGCTCGCAAAACTGCTAAGGTTAAGATAGCCAATCCCGTTTTGTTTCGGCAGAAACGAAGAAATTTCGAACAGTGTATTATAGTCGACGGGCCTCTAGCGACGATCGGACCCAGATAATCAATGTATTCATCGTGCCCCCCCTGGTTCGGTGAAAGAATTTAGATTTCCCGATGAGGTAGCCTGCTGGGACTTTGCTATAAAAGGGATTAGCGGCTTAATGCATGGATTTGAGCTGTGAAAGGCCTTGTAAGTGCCTTGCTCATGCCTTCCCGCCTTACTATGTCAAAGAGCAAAAAATGCACTCAATGAAGGCCACGATCGATAGTAGGGGTTTCTCTCTCAATTAACAAGCCCAGGGATCACAGACGAGATCTAACCTAGTGGTTTCGCTTTAATTCATTAACTATACGAAGATCTTATTTCTTACCTACTAGATCGATTGAAAGAAGCCTTCGGGTTACAGTCAACTCATAAAATACTCTCCTAAGGAGATATTCTTTCTATCCATAAACAGAAAGGGGGAGAGATTCCTGCTTGCCTACTTCGCGGATCGAAGGGAGAAGACCTATTCAAAAAAAAAACAGACAAGAGAAGAGATCAAGATGACTACCAAATTCATACCAGAATCCTTGATTGTACTAGCTTAAAATCAAGACCACAATGAGAGACATTCGATCCCAGAATTAGCTCTATCCCACCTCCAATGAGATGTTTTAAGCATATGGGTTAGTGGCAGTTGAATGAAACTAGAAAGAGTGGCAGTTAGATCCTTGAAGGGAAAGGACTTGGCTTCATCTCCCACACCGGTTAGCAACCGAGATAAGAGTGAAACTAAAGCGGGAAGGAGATGAGGATCCGGATTCTATATTCCATTTTTTTCTTTTTAGTTTGAGTGAACACCCGGTAGCCAATCGATCAGGACTAGGAGCTGCACCAAGACGGATTAGTTCGCCTTCGGGTTCTTAAGAAGAAAAAGAAGATCCCGGAGTTCTCTTTCTAGGTTGAGGAGATTGCTTTTACTTTCTTGTTAAACCTACCCGAAAGAGAGTGAGTGGTGGATTCAGAGAAAAGCTATTCTTCTTAGCAGTTTCACAAGTGAATGGAATGATTCTTCCCCCGAGGGTGACTTCACTACCTGGATCCTCATCTCTTGAACTCGTTCTGGCAGCTAGTTTAATGGCACCGGCATCTCATCTAGTCTAGATCGATTCCCTAAGAGCTTCTTCTCTAGCAGGCGATTTGGCCCATTTTATCTTTCCTGGTAATAAGGAAAGGCCTTTCCCTATCACGACCGCCTTCCTTTATTCGGAATTCATTCGTCTCAAAAGAAAGAGCTAGCGAACCACACCAATTCCATTCCAATTATCTCTGACAGAGCAGGATAGCTGCCATCAACCCTTTAGAGCGAGGGCCCTCCGAGACCAATGCAGAAGGAATAAGAGCCTTTATGCCTTGAGCCTTGAGCGAAATCATTGACCTTGCGCCTGGTTTGATTAGGACATTGCCGCATTTCATCTCAAAGAGGATCTAACTCTTTCTTTCCGGCTTAGCCGAACTACTTGGCTCGGATCAATTCA